GGTTTGTTTTTAAAAAAAAGCAGCCACATCCGTGCCAGTGTTGCACTCTGCCAGCTGAGGGATTTTGAAAAAAATTCTCATTTCTGGGGCATTTCTGGGTTTGGGCTGAAGCAGGCTCACGGAGGAGGCACCCTGCTCCCGTGCCGCGGGGAGAGCTCCTGGCCCCGCCGGGCCCTAAATGGGGCACTGCAGCCACGAAAGCCTCTGCATTGCCACCCCGCACACCCTAACGGCCTTCTCCAGCCCCTGCCCGCTCCACGCTGCGGCTGGACGTTTCCGCCAACGTTTATTTTCTCCAGCGCCAACCTCCCGCATCTCCTGCCCACCGCCCCCGGTCTCGCTCCCTCCCACGCTCTCTCGCTTCGCAGCCTCCAACGCTTTGATGAGGATGTTTAGAAGAGAGAAGCCGACGCCGCGTCGGAAGGAAACGCTCTTTCAAAGGCCGGCGCAAAAATAGCTGATAGCCCTGCCGTCTGCCGCTTTCATTTCGCTCCTTGTAAACAAGGAAAAGAGGCCACTTGGCCCTGCTTGAGACGTCGGGGAGTTTGGCTGCCTGGCTCCAAGGCGAAGCGGGACGGAGAAGGCAACACCTCGCCTGCAAGCAAGCAGCTGGTGAGAAATAAAATGCCCCGGCAGGGATATGGCCTCCGGACACGGATACGCACAGGCGAGACCAGGCAGGGTGCTGCCTCCTGGCATTGGGAGCACTCGGGAAGGCGCTGGCTGGCCCAAAGGCTGCCCAAAACCCCCCGCCTCAGCCAGCAAGCCAGCAGGGACGGGACCCAACCTCGGTGCAGCTGAGCCTGCTCTGCACCACTTGGCTCCGTCAAGCCCTTCCTGTCGCTTTGCCCAGAGCAAAGTACTTCTTGGGCTGGTCAAATCCTCTCCAGGACGAGGCCCAGAGGCAGCACGACATCCTCCTCCTCGTCCTCCACAGCGGCCGCGTCGCTCTGTCGCCCGGCTGGAGTGAAAGATCTGCTCCACGCAGGGAGTCTGCGGGTCCCAGACGTGGAGAAGCCAAGCCCGGGAGGCTCCGGGAGATCGGTGAGCGCAAGGAGACCCAGCCAGAGCTGCTCAAGTCCTTGAGGGGAGCCCTAGCAAGGTAAGATGGACCGAGGAGCCAGGAAATGCAGACAGAAACCAGCTGCCGCAACACCCATCCCCTCGAAAGCCTCCAGCACGTCCAGAGGGCTCGGCCACCTCGCTTGGTGGCGCGCAGGAAGGCGATAGAGCATCGTTATTTGTGGCCCAACGATGTTAGAAGTCCAGACTGGCCAATTGCTGAAAAATAACTCAAGTTTGCAGTAGCCCACCCAAACTCCTGCTGCATTTCCCAGATGCCTCAACGACGGACAACATCTGCATTCACTGGCTTTCCAGGGCACTGCTACACCACAAAAGGATGGGATTAGCTGGGAACGGCGCTGCAAGCAACGACTCACCCACCCCGGATGCCTGCACCAGTTATCGCGGGCAGCGATAGCGCTGGTCGGCGGAGCGAGGCCCGAGGGAGCCTGTGACGTGCCGCGTCCTCGCAGCCGACTCAAACCCAACGCTAGCCCAAGCCTAGCTGGAAAGATGGGGCGCATTTAGCGAAGGAGCAGGGCACTGGGCAAGGACGAAGCTGCCTGTCTGGGAACAGGAGGTTTGCTCTGTGCCGGGATCCTTCAAAGGGCTTAAATCCCAGTTAATAAGCATGACGGGGCGAGAAGAAAGCAAGGGGAATGAAAGGCCTGCTTGCGTTCACATCTGTGAGCAGCAGCCCATCTCAAGAGAAGGTTTCCACCAGAGGACATGAGGACAAAATGGGCTTTTTTTCCTATTTTACTGCAGGGTGAGCAGCAAACCCTGCTGAAGCTGAGCCGTCCAGAGGCGCTGAGCCAGCCCGCGTCGGCAAGGCTGCTGGAGGAGGCAATCCATAAAAAAAGGGTTAGCACGTTAAAAATGTAATTAAAACTGAAAAACTTAGCAGGTGTCTTCAAAGGCAGGCACCAAAGCCCTGCGGTCACCCAGCAGCGCTCGCCATGTGGCTGCAATCGAGAGCAAAAAAACCCCCCCAAACAAACAAAACCAAAACCAAAAACCCAACCCTTCCCCAACCCCATCTTCCCTAGAGGCACGCAAGTCACTTCTCCGCATGCACCTGGACACATGAAACAAGGCCAAAACCTTTGAGGAAAAGCAGTTTCTGGAAAGGACAGACATGGTGTTAACAGAGCCGAAACCACCAGGCGACTCAGGGAAAGGAGCAGAGCTTCGCAGCGAAGCCCAGCACAAGCTACCCTTGGGATGAAGGCAACTTTGGAAAGAGCTTCGCGAACGTGTCCCTGCCAAGCTGACGAGTCCAGCTGCGTCGCGTCTGTCTGCTCCCCTTCCCGCACACAGACGCTACCGCTTTCCAAGGCCGGCGCCGCCGGAGCGTTCGAGCAGGCACTTCCTCAGCCAACACTCAAATTGGGAAACCGTCTCCCGCAAGGACCTGGCTGAAGTGCAGTGATTTGAGTCATTTAAAAAGGGGCCGGTGCCTGCGAGCCCAGGAATAGGGACTAATTCAGCGCCCAGGGACATGGGGGAAACCTTCTCCGCTTCCAATGGCCACAGCTCTTCAGGGCTGTGGGCACGAGTGGAGAACCCAGAGCTGGGGACGGGCACCTGTGGCCGTGGGAAACACCCAGCACCTGCTCCCCAGACCACCCCAGCTGCAGTCTCTCCTCAGAAACCCCTGCGGACGCTGGCTATCCTCAGCCGTCTGCTTTACCTGCCTCTGCTACTTCACCCACGAGCAAAGGCTGGTCTTACACCCACACGCTGCCCTGCTCTGAGACAGAAGTGCCGATTTCTAGATTACGGCAGTTTTAGCAGCAGCAGCGAGAGATGGAGGCTTGATGCCATCGCTTTTGCTTTTCTAAATCCTGACTTTCCTTCTGCAGCCAACAAGGGGGAAGGCTCTGCTTTACTTCACTAAAGAAATCTCCAAAGGCCGCCTGGTACAGCCGCTAGCTTTCCAGCCACTGGCAGCGGAGCAAAACCAGGCATGTTTCATTATTTAAGCATCCATGCCTGCCGGCTCAGCTCCCGCCGAAGACAACACTCCCCAGCGCAGAGGATGAGGTGCAAAAGCAAAGGACCTGTGAACACCAGCAATGGAGTGAGAGTCGGGCAGGGTGCTGAGTGCCGGGGAGCTGGGTCTGGCGCCGGCGAAACGCAAGGCCATGGCATGGGAGGAGCGGCGCGGGGCTGGCAAGCGCAGCGCAGGCCAAGGGCAAGCACATGCACGGGTTAGCGCCGCAGCCAGCGATCCCACCACCGCGCACAGGGTACCTTGGCGTAACCTGCTCGGCAGTCTCAAATGCAGATAGGTCTTCTGCCCTGGGCTTGAGGCTAAACGGGCAAAATAAAATGAACAAAACAAAAAAGTCCTCTGTGATATAAGTAACGGCAGGTCATTTGTGCAATCTGTAGGGCTCGGGCAGAATGCCGAAACGATCGGTGCTTTCCCAGGTGGAGCAGAGGTTTGGCATGAGTTGAGCACTGCTAAACCACCACCAGCTTTTCCATTTGCAGCATCTTAAATTGCCCTTTCCAGCACAACCAGACCGACCAAAGTCCTCCCGACGGCAGGAACAAAAGCAGTCCGCAATTGTATTCTCCTGTGCTCCGCTATTATGCAAAAGTCTTAGCTCCTGAGGCAGAGATGCGCGAGCCTCAGCACCCTGCAAGAGCGCAGGACAGGACAAGGCGCCAGCGCCAGGGGAGCAAAGACCGGCCGCGCAGTCCCAATTATGGGGACGATCACTTGACAGGTGCCTGCCAGACTGCCTCGCCACCTTTGAGTGCGGCAAACGGGACCACCACCTCTCAAAAGCTCCCGGCAAAAGCAAAAATTTAGCATTTCCTCTTTCAACCGCAGATGCTGCGTGTGGAGACAAAACCCAAGGGGAGAGGAAATGTTCTCAGATTTTAAGATGACAAAAGGGGCTGTGAAGATTTTTATAGACCTCCTGCGGGAGACGCGGGGACTCGGACAGCTCCGGGCTAGCGCGGGGCAGACCTGGAAGCGAGATCTGCTCACTGCATTTCCATGCCCCAAGTCAACGATCATAAACTCTCAACCAGGAAAGTCAGCACAAACAGGTACTTTCCAACCCTGTCAGATGTACCTCTCTGCTGGGACCAGTGCAAAGGTGAGGATTTATTTTTTTAAAACCTCTTTCCATCACCACAAGCTGCATCCCTGCCAAGCGCGCTATCCAGCTACAGATTTCTGTGTCTTTCACGAGAACAGTTACTGGGAGGAAGTCTGGGCAAAAGCCTTTTCAGGTGGCAGGAGATGACCGTTACATCCCACCGCTGCAAGTCAGAGACTTATCACCGGCCCCTTAGAACAAAGAGCTCTGCTGGGAGAACAGCAGAGCTACCAAGCAAAAGAAAAAGGACTGGATGCAAAAATAAAGAAGGGGTTTTGTTCAGACCTTGCATGTGCATGACACCTGTGCTAGCAGAGCCCATCACCCTAGCTTTCTGGCCCAGCATTAATTGCAAGCACATTTAGAGAGGCAAGCGGCTGCAGGGGCCAAAGCGAAGGGAAGAGACACCTCATCCAGCTGCGCCTGGGAGAGGTCTCACCGTTAGGATTTGCAGCTTCACGACAGGTTACTCAAGAACAGACTGAAAGAGTAGAGGAGGCTCCTTCTGCCCATAAATCAGGAATGCTCTCCCCCTCACTATGCACCAGTCAAGCTCAAGTCTGCTCCCTCGTAACACGTTTATGGCACGGTTGGAATAAGGAGTTAGGGCTTTTCCTGCTCCTGGGGTCACTAGGGCAGCAAACCTCTCCTCATGGCATCTCTGCCCAGCTTTTGCTAAAGTTCAAACCTCTAGGCCTTTGCATCCCTTCACCCAGCACTGAAGAGCCAATGCTGGGTTGTGGCAAACCCAAAACGGGACCCAGCAGCAGCTGAAATTCTCCGTGCCCCGGTTCAGAGCTAAGCAGCCCGGGAAGAAAGCCTAAGTCAAACATTTTTATTATAATGCTTTGTGCAAAAGCTAAACCAAAGGGAAGGGCAATTTTATCGTGGCTTTTAAAGGATTTCATCGGGTGAGATATAAACTGGAGCCCTCAGATACCTTTTTAATAGTGTTGTGCTTGCTGTTGCCTCGGCTGGTGTTCTCATTGTGCAATATATCCAGCGCCGTCTCTCTCTCCTTCAGCTTCAGCGCCTCGATCTCTGTCTTCAACTCGTTCAGTTGCTCCTGCAGATGTTTGCTTTTCTCCATGTACTCGACCCTAGCGCATACACAAAACAGGCCTGAGGTTAGCACCAGCCATCTGCACACGGCTACCTAATAGCACGGCAGCTGATAACGGAATTGTAACAGAACCCACCCCCACAATCTTCATCATTTCTAGAGTGTGGAGCCAACAACACTAGTTTATAGCGTACACCTTAAGCTACCCTGAGCAATGGTCTGAGAGCGATTTGTTCATTATTGAAAAAAGGACCCAGACAGCTGACCCAAGAACCAGACCGTAAGTCACGTTACTATAAAAATATAGCCAGTTGAGGGCCGCCAGATGATATTTATAAGTCTTCCCATTTTCAACTGAACCTGCACCACGACTTGGGCTAATACTATGCAGCTTCCGTCTGCAAGACTCTGATTTAAGTGGCGTTGCTCTACTCTGCTGCTCAATCTCCCTCAAACCCTGCTCACAAAAAAAAGGCATGAACTCTTTCAGGCCACTTTGCGAGGGCGAGCAATGAACCCAACGTACAGACTTTGCATGTTTTAGAGGGATTTAGATTGTGAAAGGCGTGGGAGCGAGCACTGCCTCCAAAATATCAGGCATCTTTAAGATATACAGCATCCCTGGAAGAGAGGGCTCCAAAAAAAATCAGCTGCTCTCAGGACTCCTGGCCTTAACTGCCTTCAGTGATGAAGCATCTACTGGCGAAAAAATAAATCCCACCCTGCCAGTCAGTATTTGCAATTAAATATGAAGATTTAAGCGAAAGTGCCAGCACGCTAACAAGGACCCTTTCAGAGGGTGGAAATTTGTAATGAAGTTCATGTCAGCACCTGAGGAGCGAGAGCTCTCCCACAGAAGTCAGCGAAAACACACGTTATCGCTTTTATCATTCGGCTGAGCCGAGATCTTCCTGCTTAGAAAAGTGGGATGCCCTAGTTAGCAGCCTGGGTACAGAAAACAATCAGGAAACTTCCTGCTATTCACAGCTTCGGTGTTTTTCCTTTCTGGCTTTTGGAGGAGCTTTTAACATTCATCTCTAAACCAGTACTCTGTTATGTCAGACGCAGGAGAGGGTCACAAGCAGAGGCACAAAAACCCGTCCTGTGGGATCCGGGGGAGTTTCCTTCAAGCCCCAGGGAGTTTTGACCACAGCATTACGGCAAATCCCTTCTAGCTTTGTTCTGCTCCCCAATGGACAAAGTGTGTTATTGCTAAAGAGCTTAAAATCCGGTCTGCTTTGATTTGTGCTAAATTTAGAGTTTCAGGGGCTGTGCTAACACTTGCAGGAAAACGCAGATCAAAGCCAATAATCACCTCCAAGCCTGCCTGTGTACACTTTTTTTTATAAGTAAACATGTCTCAGCCTCAAAGAAAAAGGGGTTAAGCCCTAACACAGGACTTTTGCACAGCATCCAGCTATCTTTACTCGGCCTGGACATACTGCAAATGCACAGATGCCAGCCTGGGACAGCCCAACACACCAGCAGTCGAACTGCTGTTAACAGATTTTTGCCTCTTTCACCTCAAATCAATGCTTATCTGGAGCATAAAAGTTGCATTCAGCCCTGCTACGGTACCATTTACTGCAAGCGAGCCAGGTCAGTACCAAAACCCAACAGACAGAAAGCCTGCCACGTACTTCTCCTTCTCAATTTCCATCGAAAGCCTCTTCATGTCTGTATCCTTGAAGTCAAAGGAGAGGCTCTCGCTGATGAGGTTGAAGCTTGGAAGGTCGGTGGGCAGTGCTGTTGTACTGGAGTTCATGGGCTGCTAAAGAGAGAGGGCAAATTAATCACTTTTGGCCGTGCACGTGTTTCTATCGATAAATGGTCTGTAACAGAAGGGTGAAATCGGAAAAACGCCAAAGGCTGCAGTGCAAGGAGCTGCTTCCTAATGCTTTAACAAGCATAACCTGTTGCTCGTATAGGTAATAACATAGTTTTTTTGGAGCTGGGTGTATTTATGTTGTACTAAACTGGAAGGATTTCATTATTTGCACTGGGGAAGGGAAGGAGCATGTATATTCCTGAGGCACCAGGGCCCACAATCATCTTTTTGAAGCATGTACGCAGGCTCAAACTTCCCGCTGGATAGATTAAGCAGTTATTTTTCAGCTTGTGATCTTTTAATCCAAAAGCCGGCAAGTACCTCCTGGACTGTAGGAGCAGAGCAGCAAACAAGTCCCGTGTCTCCAGCACCAGAGAGGGCCTGCAGATCCCCCCACTCCCTTCTCCATTTGCTCCTCAACCCTCAGCTATTGCCCCTCTGGGCCCCCGCTCTTTGCGGTGGTAAAGTGGCGACTAAACCACCTGCCTTCAAAATCTACTGGAGAAATTTTGTCAAGTCCAGGGGTTATTACCCCTTGTTAAAGCAGTGCTGGTCAGAAGCCGCTTTTTGGAAGGCATCTGGCAGCTCTTTAAGAGATTAAATTACATTTAAGAAGAGAGCGCTATGAACGGGGTCAAGGTGTGACAGTTGTGTCCTGCACTCCAGTGCTCCGGAAAGTGTAATCAAAGGACAGCGTAATCCCAAGGGCTTAACTTTGACTGCAATTTAGATAAGGCACACAGAGATGCGCGATACACTTTTCACTTAGCAATGATTTGCAGTTCCAAGCGTTTGGGAACCGCTGCTAGATTCAACCACAAATGCAGAGATAACACAGGGAATCGCTTAAATAGTAGCTGAACACAGACTGGGGACATTCGTCCTCCTACAAAGAGCTGCGATATCTCACCCGCTGCCAGGCCCTCGGCTTTTCTCTTTACCTAAAAAAAAGACCCTGCTCTCAGTCATAAATTCTGTTGCTGCTCTAATAAATGGGCTCGTTACCAGCAGAGGAAGAGCTTCTGGACTTAAATCATCACTTCTGCTCTTGCAGTACGTTAGAGGAGGTCGCGAGCTGTGGGTTTGAGTCAAAACGGCTACAGGCATGCTGAGCCCATATTTTGGTTATGCAAAACACTGTCCAGCTCTCAAAAGGACACCCAGCTCTGCTAGATTTGCTCTGTGCAATAACCTCCCGCGCCACCCACCTCAAATTTGCAAGTAGCCCAGCTGAGCACGCTCGAGCAGGATGACATCTCCTTTCCCTGCAGAGCCAAAGCTAAAATGCTGCAGGTTACAGCTCAGGTAGACTTAAACTACAAGGAAAACACCATTTCTTATCCCATTTTCAACCATTGCCAGCAAAGAGCGTGGCCGCATTAATTCTGCAGGTGCTGGGAAAAGGGCAGCCGAGGACTGAAATCCCCGTCTCCGAGGAAAGGGGACGGATCTGCCCAAGCACTTTAACTGATTTACATACCCGCATCGCATTGGCATTCAAGCCCCTTTGCTGCATCAGACACACGGGTGTTCGCAGAGACATTATGGGAGGTCCTGTGCTCTCTGCTGTGCAGGCGAGCGAAATATCCACTACCATCCTGCTGGCCTTAAAACATCCTTTAACAATTTTTCAGCACGAGTCTATGGAGTTGTGTTAAAAATAAAAAAAACCAACAGCATCATCACTGGAGCAGGAATTGCAGGTGCTGCAACCATTAAGACCTCATGGCAATTTGTCAGGGTTACTACAATCATGTACTCCCCTTTGCTCAGCACTGCTTTCATGAAGCAGCAAGAAATAGGAGAAAATTGGTGAAGGAAAGAGCAAGGAAAGAGCAAGGAAAGAGCAAGGAAAGGCATAGACTTAGGACTCCAGAGCAAAGCATTCCCCTGACATTTGCCATAACCCTGCAAATCTTGCACATGACACCGTCATCTTTATTCAAGGTGCAGCTCCCTAAAGGGACATGGTTCTTTTCCCTTCTGCATTTCCTCACCCGGCACAAACTGCATCGCTCCAGTGCCGCATTAAAGTGATTCCCAGCAAGGAGCAGAGGCGAGCACTGTGCCGGCAGCAGCCGCCCCTTCAGAGCGCAAACAAGCCGCAAGATGTGAAGGAAGCACCGAGCAAGGCACGCCACGAGGCTTCCCCACGGGGAGAACGTCTGTGATTGCCGGTGCCATTACTTTGCTGCATGGGGAATTTGGGCAAGCCTGACAACCGATTATTTCAAGTGAACCAAAGACGAGGTGACAGCCTTCAGACTTGCCACAAGCAGTAGCTGACAGGCAGTGAAGGCTACAAGGAGGACACTGAAATGAGATGCATCAGGTGGTGACTACGACAGTGACGACAGGCTGGGGTGGATCACTGGGGCAAGAGGGGCAGAAGGGATTGCGGCTGCTCCCGAGACACGGATTCACGTTCCCTTTCCTGCTCCTGCATCAGCTGCAGGAACATCAGTGCAGAAGCAGCTTGCGCTTAATGAGCTTTAAAGAGCTGGTATAAGGGACAGGAAAGTTACCAAAAAATAATTATTTTTAAACTATTTCTTGCCTTTTCTGCAGCTCATCCCCCCACTCCTCCCTTCCTCTCGCTCCTGCTCTCCAGGCGGGATGCTCCAGCTGGCTCTCAGTGCCGGGGGACCGAGCAACTCCAGCACTGGGATAACAGGAAAGAGCAAGCTCAGAGTTAAACCCTCATTAAGGAGGAGAGGAGCTGGGGTACGGCACAGCTTGGCAGAGCTGCCATTCGCTGGAGGGACACCATGCTCCCAGCGGCAGCTTTCCAAACACCTCCATCCCTCACAGGCTGCTCTGGCTCATTCCCTTCCCCGCTGGGTCCCTCGCATGCGGCAAACGCATGCTTGCCCGATACCGGACACATGCTCTCCCGACGCTGGCTGGCTGAAGCGCTGCGCCAGAACGGCGTTTCAGAGCACGCCGCTCGCCTGCGACCAAACATGTGCAGAAGGAGAGAATTGACACAACGGCCACCTCCGCAGCCTGCCAAGCTCGGAAAATAACTGCCGCCAAGGCTGTGGGATATGGTGCTCCTCCCTGGCCTACAAGAGGTACAGGAGGGGACTGTGCCACTTAACTGGGGAGAAAAAAGCATTTTCCCTCCCTGACCAGCCCTGGCAGCTGTGTCCAGGAGGCCAATGCTCTCGCAGGAAGGGAGAGGACGCAGTGCAACGAGTCTGCAAGCAGCACAGACTGCCTCCGAGAGATGCAGCTGGTGGGGTAGATTTTTTTATTTTTATTTATTTATTTATTTTAAGGATTTTAGGCAATGCTGTAAACATTCCCTGTAATTAGCCTGTAACGCCACAGGCAGGAATACCCTGACGAGCACGGACAGCCCTGGGGATTTACACAGCAGAGCTGAGCAATCACAGCTCTGCCGCTTTGACTGCGGACAGACACGGCAGCAGGAGGGAGCCTGGACCTGGAAGGTTTCTAACGAGGCCGCTCCATCCATGTGCAAGTTTAGAGAATTAAAGGGTTAACAAATCACCAGGGCAGCTGGACCTGACTGAGGGTCCCTACGCTGAAACTTTTCTCGTCACCGCAGTTTCTTAGAAGCTTCTGAACATTTTTGCAGGGAGCTTCAGAGAATGGGAATGAAAAGTAACTTCATCTCAAACCCTCTTCAAGCTGCTCCCTATAGCTTTCGGGAGGAGAGGGGGAAGGAGCCTGCAGGTACAAATTAAAACTTCAGTCCTGGCTGGATCGATAACTCCCATGTACATCAGTTGAGTTTATTCCCGAAGACTTTGAGCTCTTCCCCCATCACCCCGTGGGACAGAGAGGCAGCACAGCCATCAGGTGGGAGCTGCCGGAAGGGGAGCCCCGGGGGGCTTCTGCAGGCCCCACAGCACCATTAGAAAAGTTGAGGAAAAGAGCTGCCAGACAGACTTGGAGCAACGGTCATTTACTCTGGTGTTCGGTCCCTGGCAGCAAGCAGAGAGAGATGCTTCAGATGAAGGTGTGAAACCCTCCTCATGGGCAACTGTGGAATTATCTCCATGCAAGGAAGTTCTTTTCTGGTGCATAGATGAAGAATGAATTTACAGGTTCTGAACAATGTTTATCCTATCGACCAGGAACAAGGACACTCATTTCACAAGTATTTAACTCTATTTTAAAGGCTCTCACTGAGCTGGGAAACTCCATCAGCTAACAAAGTATGGCTTTGGCATATTTGTTAAATTTAGTTTAAAATTCATTGCCTTTTAATTCCATTGGCAGCTCTCTTGCTTTTGCACGATGAGGCAGGGCAGATGGGAGGAAAGAGAGCAAAGTGATCTGCTGGGCAGGGTGCCCGGATGAGAAAGGCAAACGCTGCAAAATAGTTTTGAACACTTGCTAAGCCAGTTGATACCCCCTGCCCTGCTGGGAGGGAACCACAAAGACAGGAGACTCCTCCAGGCTACAGAAGAAGTCACACTTATTAGCTGGAAAAGGGATGATGACACAGATCGCTCTTACCGTGTACGAGGACTTGCTGGTGATCTCCAGGAGCTTCTGCTTCGCTCTCCGCTCAGACTCTCGAGCCTCCTGGAGGTCTTGCTTTAGCTGATCAGCCTCCTTTGCCCTGCGAAGGAAACAGCAAGCATGGTGAATATCAGACCAAAGCTGAGGAATGAGAAGACAGAGAAGTAGTATTACAGTCTAGATGCAGGACAGGTTGAGATCTGTCCTGCAACGAGACCTAAACTAAGGGATTGTTTGAGCAAGGGAAACGCTGGAGCTCCTGACATGCGGGACTGTTTTAAGTCAACAGTACAAAAATCCAACACGTAGGGCAACTCTAACACTAACATTTCCCCTTGAAGCTCAAGAACTCCCAAGAATTCCTCCCAACAGAAAGCCAACAGACAGAGGAAGCTTCTCTGCTGGGTTGAAATCTGAGCAGAGATTTCACAAGTCAGAGATCACAGCAGGGAAGAGGAGAGAGGGCAAGCATTCCTCCAGGGCTGAAATTGAGCACGTGCACATGGAAAGGAGTAATTGGTTGGAAGGAAACAAATGCGATCTTTAATTTGCTCACTGTCAAATGCACCGTGGGACCTGGTTCTGGCAGCAAGAGGGAAACCAGTTTTAACAAGAAATAAGGATTGTGGAAGTGAGGGAACCCTCAAGGCTGGCCTGAAACAGAGACCTCACAGGTGCGTAGGAGAACTTAAAAGAACTTAAAAGCTGAGAGGGAAACATGAGGACAAAGGGAGAATAATGAATGTAGATCTAACATCCAGAGAAAAACCAAACCCAAGCATTATTAACGTTGTCACACATGCTGGTGAATGCAGTGGGTGTTCACACAAAGCACCCAAAAGTAGAGCTGGCTTCGGCTGCCACTGCTGGGGCGCGAGAAGCACCAATGGCAGAGCAGAAAGGAACTGGCCAAGCCTTGGGGCCACTTGCCATGGCACGGGCACGGGAGGCCACAGGCTCGCTGCAAACTGCCGCATGGACTAACTTGAGGCATGAGCCGCTGTTTCGGCTAAGTCAGGAGAGGGTTGGAAAGCAAAGCGCAGAGGCAGCTGCAAGGTTTACCCGCTGACCTCCGCTCAGACTCCTCGGCCATTTTCAGTGCCAACATCTCTGCCTCCAGCACCTTCTGCTCCATCAGCCGTTTCTCCTCCTCCGTCCGGATTGCCGTGGCTTTGATCCGCTGCATCTCCTGCTCGGCCTCGGCTGCTTTCTGAGCCAGAAGCTTGGCCTCCTCCTCTGTGATCTGGGCCTTCTCAGCCAGCAAGTCTGCTGTCTCTTCGGACCTCATCTGCGAATTACCACACATTAAACAGTTAAGAGCGCACTGAACAGTACCCTGAATGCGCTCACAGCCTCCAGAACGGGGCCCCGAGCTGCTTGCTCTGCACAGCCGCTGCAGCCCAGGAAGTCCCCCCTATTTTGTGAAAGCCGCAGCCTTTTGCAGAGCGGTCCCCAGCCAAGACCCGGCTGTGCCCAGGCTCTGCCCCAAATCGTTCTCCTGCCACAACAGGCCAGTGGGATGAAACCAGCTCTGCCCAGCCTCCTGCCTACTGTCCACTGGCAGCGACAGGAGCATAGCCCGAGGACATTCACAGCATGCCTCCGCTTTGGAAAAAGCCAGGATCAGCTGCCACACTGCGGCAAACCACCTCCTGGAGACCTACCAGAGCCTCGTTGGCCATTGTTGCCTCCTCCTTTAACTGCATCAGTCTTCTCTCCAGCTCATCCCTCGTCCGCTCAGCCTCTTCCCTCATTTGCTTCTCTCGGGCCAGGCGTTGCCGCTCCATCTGGGAAAATGGGGTCAGGGAAAGTGAGAAACGACGCATGTTAGGAAAGCTTTTCGCAAGACGAGAAAAAGTCGCTACGTGGGGGTCAGAGCACAGGACTGCCCCGCATCCTCCACGTTGATCTCTGCTCAACAGCAAGAGGACTTCGGTAAATGGAGGAGATTTGATCGCACCAAGATCACATGACAGTAAGCGTCCTGCTGCCTTGCAGAGTGGCATTACTGACACATCCCGGATTTGCTGTTCATCCGCGGTGCTGCCGCACAAGCTGCCTGCAGGCGACTTGCTGGCGGGGCATCGAGTCCCCACATAGCTTCCTCCCATGCTGATTCACCAGGCAAACTCAAGCAAGCTCGATCCCAGGAGCTCCAGCTACATCTGGAGCTACTTAAGCAAGTTGAACAGACACCCAGATCAGGCTTAAGGGCCAGCGCAAGCTCTTCCCAAGACAGAGCATGCCAGAAACCTGCCATCTCTTCCCCAAAGAGGCTCACAAATAAATATGGCAAGACACATTGCTCTGCTCCTTGGACATCGACTGCACTCTGGAAGCACCCACTGCTCTAGCAGCTCTGTCCTCTGTGAAAGGTTCTCCTTGTCTGTTACCACCACGATCTGCATCACCCACAGGACGGCCACGAACACAAGTTGTGTGGGCTCCTGATACAAGAGGGCTGTTTGGAAATCATTTAACCACTGCAGACCCTGGGGAGGATGGAGAAGGCATACAAGAATGTGGTAGTCAACTCGGGAGAGGGCTGCCAGCCTAACAAGGAGCCTGACACCTCCCATTCAGGACAAGCACTAGAATTTGAGAGCTCGGGGGACATGATAAACACCTGCTCACTCTCAGTGCCCAGTCACCTTCCTCACCTCTCCCAGCAGCCCCAAGAGCCAGCTATGGGTAAGATCTCAGGTCGTGCTTGCGTTATTCAATTGCATCAAAGAAATCCACAAGTCTGTAACACTTGACCTTAATGCCACCAGCACCTGGGAATCATGTCGCTCCTTCCAAGGAGGACCTCTCGTTCCACTAAGGCCAACTCCCCGCTGACCAGAGGAGTCCCTGCTGGGGGCAAACGACACTTTGCCAGCAAAGCCAGGGAGGCTTCCCTTGCAGGGACCCGTGCCCCGTCCTCCCTGGACACCCCAGAAGCTACAGGAAGGAAAACTGCTTCAGGACAAGCCATGTCACATCTCCAGCCCAGCTGAGCGTCCCAGTCCCGCCCCCAGCACCACGCAGGCACCTCTGTGGACATGCCCAAATCCAAGGGAAGCAGGATAATTTAACAGCCCTTTGAGCGCAAGAACCTCCTGGTGCAACTCTCCACTTTGGTGTCTGCTGCTGCTACCTAGCGGCTTTACTGTGCAATGGACATTTATATTCTGTGCAGCAGTGCTCAGATTAGCTGTGTGGGTTTCAGTGAGCAGAAAAGGTCTAGGAGTAGGAAACAAAGATTCCTGCAACACAGTTTGCTGAGACGTGCTCAACAGTTACACACTGCTGCCTCTGAAGAGCCATCTGGGCTGACCCACAGGAGCCAAAGGAGGGCAGCACCGATCAGCATCAGCGTGCAGGCTGCAGGCCCTTAAACGCTGGCCTGTGCTTCATCCCCAGGTGATTAGAAAATGCGGCAGAGAACTACAGCAAAGCACACCTCCCCCCTCACCACCCTGCTTTAATTACAACCAGCTACCTCACGCCTCAACGACTTTCCAGCAACAGAGCCCAGGCATAAAACAAGGCTGGGAAGGATGCGCACATGCTTATGGAACGCACCGCGTAGACTTTGCCTCCCAACTTTGCTTCGAGCGTGGGGGCTGGACCCCAGCAGTCAGGCTGCTGTCAGCCTGTGGAACCAAGTCAAGAATGACTGGCAAGAAGGGAGCAGACCACTAAAATGAGGTGTTCAGCTGGACCTTCCCTCAAAGCTGCTCCATGCAGTGGATGTTGCTCTGCAGGCTCTAACTTCCTGAGCATATTTGCCTTTCTCATTTTGGCTCACAGCTGGGTTACACGAGATGTCTCTCACCTGCTTCCTGGCTTTCTCCTCCCTGGCCTGCGCCTTCATCTGCTGCACCTCCAGTGAGTCTGCCTTTCTCCTCCTCATGAAGAGATCGTGGTTCCCAATACACAGCTGGAGAATCTGCTCCGGGCAAGGGTGAAGAGAAACTGCTGTAACATGGTGACAGTGAGGCAGTTTGTCCCGACACAAAAATCTAACACTGCTCTGGCTCCGTGCTCGTAGGCACGTTCATCCACCAATTTCAAACTCCACCCGCTCTGGCACCCACGTAAGGAGCCCAGAGCTGTGGCACAGCCTAACTCCCACACCAAACACCGTTTCCTTGGCTACTGACTCTTTATAGAGAACATTTTTCTGCTCCATGTGCTGGTAGCACAAAGACTTCCACAGCTTTGGCCACTTCCCCAGTTCTCATCACCCCCCCACCACCTTTTTTTTTTTTTTAAAGGTTTGTGATGAACTTGCACCTAAAGCATTGTGGTAAAAAATAAAGAAAAGAAAAACACTTTCGATCTTGGGCAGGACCACACAGGAACACAAGGTTGATCAAAACCCTCCTTGGAGGCCTTCAGATACCTCTGCTGAAGGGTTTTGAGCCCCGGGGTGGTTCCCTCTAGCACTCGAGGAGAAGGGTAAGAGAAGTGGCAATGCTAATGGGAGGTTAACAAAGAGTGGGGTGTGCGCAGGGGAGTAAAAGCTGAAATTATTTTTTCATAATAAAAGATGAGTTTCTTAACTCTGACTCTTTTCTAAGGGCCTGATTCACATGTCTTCTATCCCACAGATCATGATCAATCTCCTCCAGAGTCTCAGACGTTACAGCACCATGAACCTGGGGAGCTTGGGAAGAACGAGACCCGAAGACAGGCTCTGCCTTTGCGAAGGAGCCCCGCTCCCTCATGGAGTGCGAGGCACAGGGCAGCGCACAGGGCTGAAAGTCCCCTGCCTCTGATACGCATGAGGAACGTCCCCCTTCTCCCTTCTGAAGACCCCTGGTGCTGCTCGGTGGCAGCACGTGGCTCCCACGCAATCTGGATCGAGGCTGTAAAGGCAGCCGAAACCTCCAGCTCCTTAGTGAGAATATTAGCTAACAGTTGGTTTCTAGCTCCAACGCTGAGCAGAAACTGCTAAACACAACCCGCCTCCATTCTCGCACAAGGGGTGTCCCAAGTGAGAAGCAGCCCAGGACAAGCCCAGCACCACGCCTTTGACAATGGTGCAGAGAGACAAAGAGAGCTACGTCCCAGGGCGGCACGGGAAAAGATCAGTAGGAGAAGAAAGGGAATTTGGAGCAGAGAGTGGGGTGAGAATTATGTTGTACTTACTAAGCACTTTGGCCGTGCAGGTTACATGTGACCCGAGGCTCAGGAAGGGAGGACAGAAACAGAGGAGTGAGGAGAGGCTCTGTGCAGGAGCTCGGCCGTATCTTCCCCCTTCTCTTCTAGCAGCTAAGTGCTTGTAGCAGTAACTGCTACACCAAATCCCATCTGTGGTCCCTCCTGGCCAGCACGCTCCTTCCGACCGCACAAAGGAAAAGCCCCAGAACAACATTGTCGTGCATCGCCTACAGAAACCACTGCTGCAGGCAATAATAATCACTCTGTCCGCAGACTTACCAGCTTATTCACGCGCAGCTTTGACGAATTGAATTTAAAAACATCGATCTTTTTGTCCAACGGCTTAATCGTAAACTGAAAAGGAAAAAAAATAAAAGGGGAGAGAGTTATTGGGGAGCCAGGCATTTAATCAAAACACAGCTATGAAAGTCTTCCAGAAAGCTTTAGGTCAGAGGAAGTCAGCTGTGTCGGACAAGCGGGGCCAAGAGCTGTCCCCACGGCTTTCGGCCGCGCAAGAGAACAGGTACTGAAAGCAACCAGGAGACAACTGTTCCGTTGGTCCAAAAAATGCTAGTGCCATGTGATGCCCAACAGCTGGGGACCTCTGCAGAGCACCCGGCACTGGGCAGGCGCAGCTCACCTGCCTCCCAAACCAAGACAAGATGCTGCTCTCCTGGGAGCGGTAGGAAACTGAGAACATGCTGCAGAAAACTGTGACACATGCCTGGAGGACATTAGAGGAATCAGCTCAGCGACCCAATGGACAGGAGGAAGGTTGAATAAGGAATGTAGAAAGAGGAGCAGACACCCATCCCATGAACATCTCTACTTGCCAGGGTTCCCCGGCAGGATTTTTCCGTGCGTTTTGTTCTCCAGAAACTCAGAGGTGTTACCAGACTGCTCTTCAACCTAAAACATTATTGCCATCGCTCTGACTTGTATTTACACTTCACGAGCCAACTGAGCAGCTTCAGCCTGGGTTCACCCTCGTCAGAGTACTTTCGCGTAACGATTCTTTCAAGAGGATTTGATGGCAGCGCCATATTCGAGAGTTTTGGCAATATGGCCCCTGGAGAGACAGATGACTTGGTACCAACAAGAGGATACTTCAGGAGATTGAGTGCTCTGCAACACTGCGTTTTTTGGAAGGCAGGCACATCCTCCATCACTCCCCCACAAACTATAAAAATAACCGGCTGAAGAGATGGCGCTGCAGCAGGCAGTCTGTATCCATTAAACCAGGCCTATTTGTCAATATGTTGCACTGCCTGAAAAGGGCTCGACAGAACGTGCCCCGTCAGTGTTTTGTTTTGTCAGTTTAAGAGCCAGTTTTTCCAGGCTTTTGCTCAGGCAGATGTGTACGAACGTCCCCGGACTTCGGCCCCAGCACAACCTGCGCGAGTCACTGCTCGCAGCAACGAGACTACGCCAAAGAGGAGTTTCAGCTCCATGTAATGGTCAATCTCTGTTACGGCAGATTAAACACCAATGTTGTGTCAGTGTAGCTCTCATGCCCGGCTATTAAGCCTGTTTACTATCACATCAGCTCTACTTGTGGACATCTTAGCACACAGATTATCGACCTGATAGAAGACGGCAAGTCTTTCCCCCAGAGAAAGATCTGCTGCCGTCTTGCGACAAGGCCTGGCAGCAGAGGCTTCAATCTTCAAGCTTTGCAGGCAAAGTGGGATCAGGCAGCTTTTGCTGCATTGACCTATTGTGGGCCAAAAAAAGACTTTGGAAATGGTTAGCTGCTGGGCCGTTTTGCTAAGTTATAGAGCGTTTTAGTTACAAGGAGGAAAACGAGCAACAACTCCATCATGGGCTTATTCCTTACAAAACTTCCAGGACCTACAATAAATGCAGCAGCTGAGAAACCTTTAGCTTTCACCCTGATCAATACCATGCTTAGCTTGGACAACAATTTAACCAAAAAAGCTGATTTTCTTCCTTATCATGAAGGCAGCTAGTTTTCTCTGTGCAGTTCTCACAGACTGAAAAACGAATGCATGGGCTGCACTTCCACAGCCCATTTCCCTGCTGTTCTCAACTTGGTTTGGTGGCCAACAGTTCAGAAGGAGATCTGTATTTACGTTTTGGGTTTAACAGAAGTCTATCCAATAGTGGGCTCAAATTACTCAACCTCCTAAAAAAAAAAATTCCAGCTCTCACACCCTGCCTGGCAGTCTGAAAGCTCAAAACGATATAATGATACGGCAAGATGCAAGAGCACCTCTCACCAGAAATATGTTTTACTATATTTAACAATACAAGAACTTATATGGACTAAAACAGGGATCTTGCCTTCTGAACTTTGACATTTAGGCTAAGCGCATCAACAGCAATTCTGCTTTTGAATCAGTTAAAGAGAGGGTTTGTACATACTCTAGCAATAAACAGAATAGCTCATGGTTGACCTCTTGCACGCCCACTTCTGGAAAATTTCAGAAAGCCTTAAAATTAAGGTTTCTGTTGGAGAGATTGAGCTTAACTAAGCTGGTGAGAGCAAGCACAGTAGAAAGAGGAGCTAAGAGAAATCATACTTAATTGTAATGGTGGTCCTACGGAAGAGGGCAGACATAGCCATACCTCTTTATCGCTGTAGGAAATATTTCGGATCTCGTTCCACGGGAAGGAGATTTTGGGGGTCAGCCTGTTGTCTGGGTCGTAAATGTGAAGACCTAAGGCATCGACTCCAAGCAGCAGTTCAGTACCCTTTTTATTCTACAGAGGAAAAGAAAAGGGCAGAAAACCCTTTTATTCAACTTAGAGAGGATGTGACATTAACTGAGCCACTGTGAGCCTCCCCCAGCCCTGAGCAGCAACCCAGCAGCACCACATGTTAAAGGCACTTCTGCCTCCCAAGCAACTAGAGGCAGATCACACTGCGGAAGCGACTCTCACAACGCGCCATGGCCACCTCTCGTGTCTACGGGCTCTCCCAGGCTCCTCCCGCCCAATCTTATAGCGACACAGAGGATGAAGACTAACACAAGAAGCTCAGCACACCTTGAAAATATGACCCACCACCTGCACTCACCCTAATTGCAAAATAGTTCACTCCATACATCTCCAAGTCCTGAGCTATCTTCAAATATTCCATTTCAGCTTCATCTCTGTCAGACAGGAAAAAAAAAGGCAGAGTTAGAGATGTTTGCCAGCATCAGAGAGAGAGGGCTGCTCTTTCTGATCCCAAGCGCACATGATGCTTTCAAACCCTGACTGTCTCTACAGTGTAGGTCAAGCCTGTCTTTGCTGGCAGGATCAATAAAGACCAGCAGCAATCCCGATCTGCAGCCTGCTGGCATCTTAATAGCTGTTAATGCCTGCCTGGCGCGATGCAGCATTTTAGGCCCTGTTTGGTCCATCTCCCAACCCCTTAAACATAAAAAAGTTTCTAGCTGGGGGTCCCTGCTTAAAAACAGCCCTAAATTCTCTCTGGGATCCCACTGGTGAGCAGTGAGCAGCAGGGCACGTTCAGAGCAATCAGAGAAAGAGCTTTTCCCCTCTTGGGTCTGCTACCGGTTTGCCAGGATTAACCCTACCCATAAAATGCCACACAGGTGCCCTGTAATCCCACAGGGACGCGGTTGTAGGGGATAGTGTATTTCTGCAGGGGAAAAAGTTGAATTCTACAGGCTTAAACATGAGTTTGATATAATCCAATCCAGGTGAAATTTTGCACAGTTTAACTAGTCTTGGGGCAACTCTCATAGCTGAAATAACGATATTGGAACAGGACCAGCCTGGCTTTACACCTGCCATGCTGCTTGGCTAGGAAAAGGGAAAAAAGTTGCCAAAGCAGCTTCCCATTTCAGACAGCACAAGCCACGTTTTCACTGGATAAAGAATTAGCATCTCAGCTCTGTCCAATGCGACCCCCAGGAAGCGGTTCGTAGAGCACATCCATTGCCCGCAGAAGCTGCTGAGACTCTTGGGGCAAGGGGAACGTTGCAGAGCCGCGGGTGCTGCTGGCACATGCTCACCTCGCTCTGCCGCGGTGCTCAGCATACCAGGCCGTTATTCGCTCCTCCCACATCTCCGGAGTCATCTGGTACAGGTTTATCACCTGTGACATGGAAGGAGACAGAGATCCGGTCACACTGCCACTCTCACAGGCTCCTTCCCCAGTAAACAAGACAGAAGCCCTCAAATGTCCCCCTCCCGAGCGTCCTGTCAGCTGGTGGGTGACCGTCTCCACTCCAATGGGTGCGCTGAGCCTGGCTCTTTCATTCCCCAGTGCCCCCGTCACCCTGGTATCTTGCAGGACACAACTGGGAAACCCATTGAAAAGAAAACCCTTGCTTGTATTTTTCTTAAAATACTGCACGAAGCGGTTGAATTCTCCTCCTTCCACGCATCTTTTTGGACTGGTTGCCTTGTGAAGGGAGGCAGAACCACAGACCCCCTCTCCATGATGGGCTTTGCAACCCAAACTGCCACCAAGCCTGGAAATTCACCTTCGCGCTCAGCCGAACCCCTTACCCGCTTTGGCAGCAGCTCCTCCTGTGCCAGGAAGCCTCGCTTGTGCACATTGGGGTCATAGTCGCCGTACTGAAAAGAAGCACAGACACTGCGCTGACCTTGCATTCACAATATGAGCCAGAGGGAGAAAAATTGCTTACAAATCAATCCCAAGGGATTGGCTGGGTGCACTTCTGACCTCGTAAGTGCACCCAATAATTCCTAACACTTGTTTAGATTTAAATCTTTTTAAGCATTGTGTAAAATGACTGAGAAATAAAATGGCTTATTAGTAGATTCAAAAGCCGAGCGTCCCTTTGTGTGAAACCAAATTTACCTCCCGCACACGGCGGGAGGGGAGGAACAGACCGGAAACTGGCACCGTAAATAACCTAGCAAGTTTTAAGAGGATGATGGACGCAAGGCATGCACAGTAAACGCTGCGATTTTCGTTAATCTAGCAAACGAGACTTCCAAAGTGGCATTGCCCAATTAACAAGATGTGGTGCTCGTTTTGCAGGGGAAACAGCCTTTCTTCCTTGCTTGTCCAAAGGACCTCAGCTCAGAAAGTGCAAAATCTTCACAATTTTTAAGCAGAGACCTCATAGTAAGTCAGGAACCTTTCCAAATTCATCTCCTTTTTATGTCAGGACCATGATGTCACTCGCTAAAGCCAGCACTCAGCATTGCCAGCCCATAAATATATCCTCCAAGCAGCACAGCAAGCGATGTTTCATACCAGACAAGCAGGGATTAAAGGAGCAAATATTGATGTGGAGCCAGCACAGATGCAAAGGAAGCACGCGGCAATCAGCACCAACTCAGCTTTCAATTCATATAACAAAAGTGCTGCGGATTTCATTTAGGAGGGTGCTTGGCAGTGGGCAAGCATCTCTCTCCCAAGGTCTGCAGGTGCTCGTTGCAGGGATGCGGAACCTGAACCCATGGCAAAAGGGAGCAGCAATGAAAAGACAGCGCTGGCAAAGGCGACAAAACTCCAATAACCTTGGACAGGCAGAAAACAAATCACTTTGGGGTGATAAAAAGAACAGCAAATAGGATTAATGTGATTATTTTTTGTTGTGATCTGCTGTGAAGATCCAAGGCTAAGTGCGGATTGCGCGATTTTCGTGTCGTGAAAATATTGCTGCGTCCCAGAGGAATATTTGTACTGAGAGAGAGGCTGGATGAGAATATTAATTATTCACAAGTGGGGAGAAAAAAAAGAGAGAGAGAAAAAATCAAATGGCCCAAGTATTGCCATATATGTTGGCTCAAGTGATTCGGCAAATATATCTTCAGCGCCCTTTTCAATTAAATCATTATTCCAAAACTGTCAGGGAAATTTAGCTCTTGTTAATTGAGCTGCGGGATTAATATTTTTGTTTACATGTGGAAGTTGGCTTCACATCATTCATACACCTGGCTTATGTAGCCCTGCATAAATATGGGCATATTCAGTTCCAAACTATTAATGCAAAGTATTAGCTGTTTTGGAAAAAAAAACAAAAACAAACAAAAGTCTTCTTTCTGGATGCTGAAATGCTACAGGATTTGAAAAGGCCTGCTCCACGGCAGTGATTTGCATTTAAGGGGCAAGAAAAGGAAAAACCTCTTGAACGTTATCATTTTTCTGCAGGAAACTATTTTCACTAGAGTCTATGCCTCTCCTCGCTATTTAAAAGCTGAAACCCCTCCAACACTTGACAGCAGTGTGGGTGGTTTGAGTGCAAGGCTAGAGGGGAAAACACACAGCAATTCCCCAGACAAACACAGCGCTAGAAACAAGCTTTTATTTTTGCGTCCCACAGGCTTACTTTGTTATTTCAGGTAGGTGGGTAACGGCAGTACAAACCAGCCTGGCTGTCAGTCAAACGGCTACACTGGGTGCAACCGCATTGCTATGTCTGGCCATTATGCCCTTAACGACAGAAAGCAGCGTGTCGTCAATGAAAGTGCTGCGCTTACTGGCCACCTCCTTGTCCCCAAAGGACACCCGGACTCCAGAAAGGACGTCGCTATCCTGTCTCACCAGAAAGAGACAACCTGCTGTAACCTCTCTTCCTAGCTCCAGACTGGGGATTTGCCTTCAGCTTTCTCCTTTGCTGGAAAAATCAATGGGGAAACCAGCCTAAACCCTGCTTAGTTGAGAGGGGCTGCAAGGAAAAGCTGTGCTTGAAGCAGACAGATGCCAAGGTGCATTAGCTAGGACAAGCAAAGGCATTCCCCTCCCAGAATCAAAATTTGTGGATTAGGAAAATCGCTCCGATTCCAGCCACCCCCCTCCCAGGACAAGCAAACACGGAGCAAATCAAGGGTGTCCCTGAGTCCAGGGTGAGCAGCTGATCTCAAGGACGAGGCAACCTGACAGCAGAACAATCTCGTACCAAACTATGGCCCGTTCCTGACCAGGTGAACAGGAGCTGTCATGAGTTAACAGGGCTCAGTATTTACCTAAGGATTCACTCGTTTTGGCAACAGGAAAAGTCCTCCCCTATGGATCTTCAGTTCACCAGGTCACAGGAGAGAAAGCTAAGTGAGCGTTTGCTCATGTGCTCTAATACAAGCGATAAATGTTTGATGCAAACAGAAATATTTTTTAGAAACTGCTCATTTCTCCTTGGCTCATGAGTCTCTCTCACAAAATATGTTTTCATTGATATGAGGAGAAAACATCTCTTTCTAGTATACTCAAACATGCATCATCAGACAATATTGTTATGTGCCACACAGCCCTTGGACAAAATTGGGCACAGACCGAAGGGTTATGAGAAACATTATCAAGCAAGCGAGAAAAAGCAAGTGTGAAACAGCGAGGACTGGATTCACGGAAAAGGCTCATTTTCACCACTTCAGGCAACAGAACCAAACTCCTTCTCCTGCACCTCCAGGGCTCAGGTACAAAAGCTCTTAATTCAGTGCAAGTTACGCAGACATGGTGAGAAACAGCTCCGAGCTAAACCTCCTCTCCCACCTGCTACAAGAACATCCCTACCTCACCCTTCAGGGTGCTCCCACTATCCCAGTAGCTGACCTACTGCAAGCTGTCCGAGGCTGCATGCTTCGGACTCGAAAATAGCATTCTTTTAAATAGGTCCCCAGCAAAAAGCCTGACCCTGGGTCTGGAGCCGTAGCATTCAGTCGAGGAAGGAGAAGACTTAATGATCAAAGAGCTTTTCACCTGTCTGGTGAGGCCAAACGCCAATGCTCAACCACCTAAGGTGCAGGGAGAGGACAGAGAGAGTCCTCCAAGACTGCAGTAACATCATTGCGGCAAACTGCCGCGCGTAAAATAAAGCAGTTATCACAAAGACAAGAAGTATCCTGGGGAAGCAGTGCAGGCGTTAGTCCCCTGGCTGGTCTGCCTCTGGCTGCAAGGGTGAGAGCAGGGAGGAGATCTAAAAAATCATGGGCTATAGAGGCTCCTGTGCTCCAGGGCTAAACCACACTTCAGTAGGCTGAGGCCCCTAAACTGAGCATTTGTTAAGAGTTTTCTGTAAAGAGACTGCAAAAACCTGCCCAAAGTCAGAAGGCAGACAGGAATCACCGGCGCAGAAAAGGTAACACTGCTAGCGTCGTTCTGCCACTTCCAAATTTTTAACAATTTTCCCTGCCTGCTGCTCACTTGGCAAGCGGACATATCACAAAGCACCTTCTCAGGAGCAAAGCTACCCACTGCCCAGTGGCTGCGGGTGGCTGGAAAACCCCTCCGGCTCCTCCGTGCCTACCTTGGCTTGGACAGCGTAGGAGGCCAGCAGCACCGAAGCCTCGGGAGGGCAGTAGATCTTCTCATCCAAAATCTGCTTCTTTACCTGCACAGAACAACAAAAGACACATAACGGGTTCAGTAGGGCTGCGCAAAGCACAACTGTCACAGCAGATGGCTGTAGTTTGTTTTAACTAAGACTATAAACCAGCCAGCTAATGGTTTTCCTAACAGCAGTTACAATTCAGGCCTGGAAAATCTCTGAAGGGAAGAGTGCAGGCTTTTGCAGGCTGCCTTTTTCAGACAGGTTTGCAAGAAGAGCTAAATTTATAAGTGGAAAACAGCAGAACCTACATCCCATCACTAAAGGCAAGGCGGAAAAAAAATCTCGCATGTAAATATAGAGATAAAAACCTCTTCATAAGCTATGTGTTGAAATGACATCTAAAGCGCTGCATTAAACAAACAAACAAAAAAAAGGTTGGTAGCTCGTTTTCTGAGCACACAGAGGTTTTTTTGGGGGAAACGCAGGACTTGTTAGGAGTTGGTGTGCACTGGCAGGTACCCTCTGATTCCCCCGAGGGCAAGCAGAGCTGTGGGTCACCTCGCGGGGCGCTTCCAGGGGAGCCAACGCACAGCTCCCGTGAACCGCCGCTTTACATTGCCTGGCTTCTCCGCATAAAAAAATTAAACATGTCATGCTTTGATATTTTTTGTTTCACACACTTAATTTTCCCCAAATACAGATTAAAAAAAAACAAAAAACAAAAAACAGGCACTCCGTTTCCATGGGAGGCTTAAACGGATTGTCACAGAGATACAGTAACACCAATTTCAATTTATGGCGTGCCTTGTGTTCTCAAAGTTTGTTACAACTTCATCACAGATGATGATCTTCTGCATTAAGATAAATAGGAGCCCTTGCAGGCATATACACGCTCCTGTTTCCCACACGCGTTATGAGAGCGCAGCCTCCTCTCATATTATCAGAAATCCTAGCAGAAAAGTCATGGTCTGCATTTATAAAAACACAGCTTTCACTGCTTTTCCTCTCCGATTTTTCTCATCAAACATGCCAGTAGCATTTTTCCGCATCCTTGACAGAGCCCATGGTAAATCGGACATTTAGAAATACCCATCAGGAAGCACTAGAGCACAGAACAGAGCTGGGAAGTTTAACAGAAATATTTTGCACTTAGAAGCTCTTCAGCTCTGAAGACCAAAGACCAACTTTGCAACAATGAGGAGCATTAGTGGGATGGCAGGGTTAGTTTTATATCCATTTTAAGGGGGAAGGGAAAGGGGAGGCACACCAAAGTTGTATTTCCAAGAGCTTTCAAACCCAGGTCACCTTCACTTCAGTGTAACAAACTGAAGTGTATAAGCATCCATTATTTTTAGAACCATCAGATGAAAAGCCCCACACTTCACTGGAAGCAGCTGAGACACAGCTCAATACCTCCCGTCACAACCTGGGACCTTGACTAGGTCTCCGCTGCCTGTCCCCGGGCTGCCTGCAGCTTCTTTTCCAAGTTCACACGCCTATTTGTAGGAAAGTGTCTCCGCAAGTGGGCGTTTGCCTCAACCAGAGAGTGCCTCTGCTAACAGGGCTTAATTTAGCAGCTGAGCTGATTCCCGAGGACAGAAGACGGGAGTGTGCTTAGAGCAAGCCTCAAGAGTCAGTCCCCACACCTGCCAGGCACTTAACGTTCCAGTACATGTGGTGGTGGGGCAGGTGGGACCCTTGGGTTTTCCCTCCTACTCAGCTTTTGCCATCAGCTTCTGACCCGGTCACGCTTCCACGATTTTCTTCAACTCCAAATATTTGGGGACTGTATGGTGAAGAAGTGAACCTCACTGAACGCAAACAGGTTGATTGCGCTGTGTACTTTAGGGTGGTATTGCCATGTTTCACCTAGCAGCGCTCTCGAGTGTAAAGGCAAGCGCTATCTCTCCGTGCAAATGACACCGCACCGCATGGAAGAGGGATCCGAGGCTACGTCATTCGTGCCCACACCCGACAGAGCCATTTCCCTTAGCTACAACATGCCAACATTTCAAACCACCAGTTTACTAAGTCTGCAAATCTGGGCATCTGTTGTTGCTCCATCAGACAAACCATCTTTGACCTATTTTAAAAAATTTTTGTTACAGTTGAAGACTGCTCCTTTCAGAGCGGGGGCGAATGTAACGGTGAGGGTTCACACTTTGCCCACCGACTTGCTCAGACCCTGCAACCCTCCTGCTCTTCTGCCCATCTCAGCTCCTTGCTCCCTGGAGCTGGGAATAAGGTGTATTTACCACGCTCCTACCTGCAGGAAGAATAAGTGCTGGGTGATCTCCTGGACCAGCTCCTCCTCTGCATTTTCAGGATAAAACTTGGCCAGGAAGTGAAAGGTGACGGGCTCCTCAGTGGGAACGTCATGGTCCAGCACCTGGGGGACACAAAAGCCCTTCAGCCACTGCTTCCAGCCTCGATGGCGCTGCTGTCTCTTGGAGCCGAGACACAGCTCTCCTGTTCTGATCTACTTGTGTCAAACATTTTCGGCACCTAGAACGTACGAACCAAGCTAAGTAGCCCAGAAACCAGTTTAAAAAAGCAACAGAAAAAAAAAAAAGAGAGAGAGAGAGAGAGAAGAAAAAAGGCAGATTTCTGACATTCAAAACTTTGCAAAAAGCAAATGAGGCAGGAACAAAGAGCATGAGGAATGAGACTGCTTGCGCTAAGCCACGGCTGATCCTGATCTGCCGTGCACACGCTACCTGTTCTGCTCCTCTCGCAGCAATGCTGAGTCCTGCTTTGACACCGGCAGGCTCCTGGGTCGCTCCCTGCATTGCTGGATAGTAGCATTGCTTCTTGCTATCTTTCTTTTAGCGCTGGCAACGTCCAGCTTGGATTCGTGTTAGTCTAAAACCTTGGCATGACATGAGGGGTTCACCAAGACTTCCCTGCCAGTCGCAATTACTGCCTTTTCTTTCTTTAGCGCAATGACATTTGGGTGCAAGCAGCACCACATCCAGCACTTCTCCAGCTAAGCGTTCATCCGCTCAGAGAGGATTCCCTCCTGCATTTCCCTTGCCTTTTCTCTCCTCTCTTCTTCCTCCTCCTGAGCTCTTTGTGCATCTTGGACCACAACAAACACCAAGCAAGAAGAAGCCACAGCATAACCTCACTTTCCTGCTACTTGCACAGCACCCTAGAAAGCAAGTTTTTGAAGGATTTGTCATTTGGGAGCGTATGAGAGATTATCTAAAAGAAACTATCAGGCCTCATTTACGTTACAGTCAACTCAAGGTCCAGCATCCCAGCACGGCTGCCTCCCAAAATACCCTAAGGAAATCCAGGTGAGCAGCCTCACAGGCTTAGGAGGGATTAGGGGCAAATCCCAGCCAATTCTTCTTGTTTCAACTTATAAATGCAGTGGTTATGAGGTTTAGACGCACTTTTCCCAGTTCGCTTGCACAGCACACCTAATGCAACCACAGGTACGCCGAAAGAGAGGAAAATATACCCTCTCTCCTCACCACACACGACCTCGCAAGGGGAAGGTAAGTTCCAACCTTCTTGTCCATTTTGAGCCAAGCCACTGTGTCCTTGATGGTGTACTGAAGGCCGAAGAACCAGGTTTCCCGGAGTCCCAGCGTCCTGCACACTAAATCAAACAAGTCCTTCCCTTTCCACTTCACCTGCAAGAGAAGAAAGAAGAGGCAGAGCTGTAAAGAGGGATTTCAGAGTTTCTTTTCTGTTCATCCAAATCCACCCGTTTTTACCTCGCCACACATTTGCACCCTTCAAATTTGCCTGGCTTTGAAAATGTGAAAAAGACATTTGGTAGAAATAAGAAAATATCCAAACTGAGTGCATTTCATACCCTTCCACCTACTTTCATGTGCCCCTAAGGGTCCGTATCTACAGCATCTCAGGTTAGAAGCAAGAAGCTTGTTTCTTCTGACAAGCCATCAAAATTCAGCAGAGGATCTGACGGGGCCATTTGTGTTCCTCAGGGCAGAAATACACAAGCTGTCGGTTGCTGAACAGTACTGCCTCTCCAGAAAGCAACCCCCCCCGGACGGCTGCCCCCAGCCTCTGAGATTCGCATCACATGCAGGCAGCGCCTCGAGGTCAAAAGCACCAGGAGCAGCAAGTTTGGCAGCGCTGCAATTATAACCCCCTTATTTCCCACGTTTAGCTGTTCTCCGGTCCCCGTGACGATCTCCAGCTTGGCACGGGATGTTGCAGACCACGGATCCCTTCCCAGCTGTTATTCCAGGAGGGGAGTTAATTCACAGGTTTAAACCAGAGCACGACAGCCATTGCAGAGGCATTTGTACCATTCCCGTAGGGACTTAAAAATAGGCTGCCACCAAAGGGCTGTTTCTTAACTAGGATTAAACTGCTTTGCATAAAGCATTGTCGGCTTTTTTTCTCTCTTTTTTTGAAAGCTAAGATTTCAGCCTGCGGCTTGAGTGGCCTGGCCGGTGCCGGCATGCATGTGGCTGCCCACCTGGGACAGCAGTGGGGAAGCAAACGCAGGAATCAGTGTTTCCAGTCGGGCTTACCGTGCAGACCCGGCAAGGGCCTCCCTGGTGGGGTTCCCACCACCTGGAGGCTACAAGCAAATTCACCCCAGGGTGATTTCCTACAGCTCTCCAACCCTATACGCTCATTCCTCACACTGCGCTAACACAATTCAACAATTTCCTCCCTAAAAGCAAGTTTGCAATCAGTCTAAAAGACCAGCAGCCAGCACTAAAGCACAAGCATCGTGCATTTGCCCCCCGATTTCAATTTGGGCACGGAAATATTTTAACCGATTGCTTGTGTATTAAATTTTATACTGTTGCTCTGGCTCTGCACCCAACCTGAGGCTGTGCAGGGAAGAGCCAGAAAGCAGCCTGGTGCTGCCACCTCCCAGCCCTCGCCTGCACCAGCGGTCCCCAAGCCGGTGCAAAAGCGACACCTGACGCACAAAGCCGATTTTACAAGCAGTTATGAGCTCTCGAAAAGACAACAAAAAGGCTCACCATGGAAAATCCCCTCTCAGCCACCTGCCAGAGCGACCGGCACGATGCTATAATAAAGCTCAGTCTCCCAAGAAAAAGCGACGTGAAAAAAACCCTTAATCTGACACAGAGCCGCAGTGATTTTGCTGCCCCCCCCCGGCCCAAGGGAGCCGGGCCGCCTGCAGCACTCCCAGATCCACGTTCAGCTGCTGGTGGCATGGTTTTGCCTTCTCCCGTTAGCTTGGTCTTAGCACAGGCTGTTTGAGGTATCCTGCAAGCCCGGGAGGACCGTACGGATGCGCTGCTTTATAAACAGGGGAAAGGCCACTGGGGGCTGTTTCGTGGTGCAGGAATTTATGCTCTTTACTAAGCGCAGCGAGCTTACAATTCACCAGCAGTGTGGGCTTTAAGTAAACACTGAGCACTTCCACCGCAGCAGCCGCTTGCCGGAATAGAGTCCTTCCAGCCTGGCTTATTGACATCATTTTTTTCTCCAGCAGAGATGTCAGATTTGGCAGCTATTAACAGGGTTTGTGTTATTTATTAACCTGGACCAAGAATCATTTCCAACACAGCCAGGCAATTTATTTCAGCACTGCACCGTCCTGTCGGGAAATGCAACTGCTTCCTGGGTAAAGATGATCTATACGCCAGCACCCAAAGCGAGCAGCAGGTTATCCGACCACCTGCAGGTGCTGAGGGTGACGCAGAGGCAGGCCAAGCACTACAAAAAACAGGCACCAGGACAGGAGAGGGTACAACCGTCCTCTCTAAAGCATGGCCTTGAAGAAACAGGGGATACCTATAAGAAAAAAATGGGTGCAGTCAAGCACCCAAACAAGTATTTTAAGGAGTGCTGAAAATGGCTCTTCAGCTGACCAGACCAATTTAAACACTAATTCAATGCTAGGTATGGGGGAAAAAAAAAAAAAAAAAAGCACACAGGTACTGTCCAGATGACATTAAGGTCCAAAAGACCGAACAGAAAAGGGGGAACAGAGTCCCAGGAAGCTGTGCTAAATCCTTACATAGTTCCTTTTAGGAGCCTTACGGAAGATGCAAGCCTTAACATGATGATACAGCATCTTTGCACAGAAACATGGAGGGAGATGGCAGAAAGGAGGTGGCAGGGCCAAGAGACCAGGAGCTGAGCAGCACACACTTCCAATAAGTGCCTGGGGTAGAAAAAGCCAAACAGGGAGGCAATATCTGCTCCTCATCCCATCAGGAGATGCTCAGACAGCAGTTTACAGCTCAAAGTGAGACAAACCCAAGACCGCAGACCATATTTACCCTTCTGAAGAGTAGCAGCAGCGTGACAGATCCCCATTTATTTGGATTAAAGCCCATCGAGAGCAAACAGGGAATCCAATATTCACTATCCTTCAATTTTCTTAAATAAACAGATGTCAAATGCTTTCAACTGTCACTTACTGAGTCACAAGAGAGTACTGTAAAAGTTATTTTTATTTACTAATGCTCCACGACAACTCGATAACGAGCTTTTAATTAAAATTTATTTCTGTTAACCACGAAGGAGGCCAGAAACTCAGCTGGGCGTAACAAGGCAGATGATGCAGCCGAGCACGTTTCTTGGTGGCCGCCCGAGACGGAGCGCAGTGGGTACAAGGGAGGATGGGCCGTGGCAGCTGGGGCCAGCACCGAAGCGAGCAGCGGAGGGAAGGGAGCCAGCGACAGCCCAGAGCATCATTCCCAGCGCTTACGTTCAGGCTGTGCAATTTAAGCAGTCACGCAGCAACGTGACGCAGGGGAAGAAGCTCCAAGAAGTGCCGAGGAGGACCTTGCTCCTCCAGGGACCTCTCGTCTTCTCAGGATGAGGCTAAAGAGGTGCTCAGGTCCCACCAGGGCATCTCTGCCCTGCTGCCATAGAGGCTACGGCACACACCTCTCTGCGGAGGAGCGCTGCGGGCGCTCCGCACGGAGCCGGGCCACGTGGCTGTGCAGGTGCAGGAGGGTGGATGCAGGGGGCTTCATGGCAGGCACGACCCGCCCTGATGATCCATCGCGGGTCAGGAGCTCACCGCCAGGGAAGTTGTGCCAGCTGGAGTTTACGACACCGGGCAACACGGAAAAGAAGTTTAGCCTTGCCCCAAAAATTTGCAAGTTTATTGTTGAATGACTCAAAGCTAAAACCTTGTGCACTCTCAGGTGCTCGTCTGCCAGTCCTAAGGGCTGCCTGATTTTCCCCGAAAGTGTCGCCTCCGAGACTCCAGCAGATCACTCCCAGGGTCACTTCCCTGCTCTAGCACTTCCAGCTTGGAAACCCACCTAGCTGAAAGACACTGTCTGTACAAAAAAAATGTATTAAAGGGCATCAAAAGTAGAGTAAATACCAAAAGAGAAAGACACATTCCCGTCTCAAACATCATCCCTCCTTCCCTGTTGCATGGAGACGCTTCCTCAGGATTAATCACAGAGTCAAGGACTGACAGCATCTGTGAACCTTTACTGTCTGGAGGCAATCGGACAGCCTGGAGTTTAACAAGCTTAGGAGAGGCTGCAAGGGGACACGCGGGATCTGGAGAGCACTTCTGATGCAGTGTGCAGTCAGGAAGAAGTCAGAGAGGATCTGCGTTCTCGTGCGACTTGGACACAATGTGAAAAGGGAATGCAGAACTGAACTGCCAAGAGCAGGACAGCTCTGAAGAATTAATTCCCAAATGATACAGTCACAAGTGTAAACCCCCTCCAAATAGGAAGTCAAATGAGAAAACATGCCACTTCCCATGTTTAAAAAAAAGAAAGAAAAAACCATCAGTAGCAACCAAATGACACAAACTCTGAGCGTTTACAGAGCAATGAGATGAGATCAGGGCAGATGGGCACATGAGGAACCTAAATGCTGCCTTGCCAGCTGGTATCTCGACGACTCACTGAAGATCGCTTTGTAGCCAAGAGGGATTACTTCTCGCAGCTTTTTCAAACAGTTGTTAACTGCCCACAGACTTGCCTTTTCCAGTTCAGCCTTCTGCTGGCTTGCACAAGCTCAGCAGCCTCAAAAGAGGTCACCGTTATTACTAACATCAGTGAGAAGCTGTGAAACTTTTAACTAGGGATGGAATAACCTCTACACAACCTACACAACCTCCCCAAGTATTTGCAAAGCCGAGGGCAGCTGTCTTATTTGCCATTTACTAACCTCTGCCTTTTAATTTTGGGGCAGGGACCAGACTGAAGTCAAAACCACCCCAATTTCCTGCACCAGCTCTCACTCAGAAACTTCCATTTGTCATCAGTACTATGGAGGGGGTTACAGAGAAACAGCCTTCAGGAAAGGTGCTGTGGCCCCAAAGATGGAGAGCTACAAGCCCAGCTGCAGCTGTCACAGCAAGAAAGGGGCAGAGACACACGAGAACGAGACTGACGCTCTCCCATCTAGCAGGCAGCTTGGGTTTTTTGAAAAAAAAAAAAAAAAAGAAAAAAACCACCCTCAACACACACGAGGAGAAAACTTGACCACAGCAGCTCCTATGGAAATCAGATCCTGGTAGAGGAAGAGCATGCAAAAAAGCTTTGGAAGATCCAGACCCAGAATACCATGAGGTTAAGCTATGCCAGAGATGACGGAGAGCAGACCACCTTGTCTGGAAGGGGCGCCAGCAAAACTAGATTGCCACCTCGAATTGTGCAAGTGTGGGGCTCACCAACTTGTTTTGGTTGG